TTCATCTTGCTTGCCTGGCTGCTGTGCTGCTTTCAGTCTCTAGGCACTTGCTTTCTATTCCAGTAGTGCTCTGGTGGTTCTCAATTCCACTGAGTAATGGAACAAGGTGGAGAACTGGGACCAAAACAGCTATAACAGATCCTTCCTGGTGAAATTTAGAACAAAGAATTTAATTGCTCAGTTCTCCCTTATTTGTATTTCCATCTGATGGTTTCTGGGAACACAACTCTAGAACAAATGTTAAGATGCCTTCTTTCAGTGTTTGCCAGAAACCCAGATACCTCAGGACTGTGGCTCACTTGAAGGGCACTGTGATCATTGGGCTGCCCATTCACTTCTTCAAGGCTAGGCATATGCTAGAATTTCCCACCAAAGAACTCAAGATTTTCCTTTATTTCTAGGCTTGGGAAGGGGGGCTGACAGTCCCCTCATAGGGGTCCCTGCTCAGTCTCTTTCCCTCAGGAATGTGTTATGTAAAATCTTGGACCTGTGTTAATTTATGTCTATATAAAAATCATCATTTTACTTAATGTTATCCTTTAACAATAAATGTGTAGATTGATAATCTTATTTTAAACACTTGCATAATGATAAACCTAGAAGAAACTCGAGAGGCTATTTATTTAACTAATGTATTATTTAACCAATTTATTTAGATTAGTCAACTGAGATATACTAAAATTCATTTGCCCACCTTTTCCTACCCACTTAATACCACAGCTCAAACCTTATAGAGAGTACCCTGACTCCAATTCCCATGCTGTTCCCTCATTTGTAACATATAATTTTATTATATTTATATTATTCCTATATAAATCCATCTTAAGTAAAAAAGAAAAAAAGTGACAACTGAAAATTCATAATCTAAATAAGCATGTTAATCAGAACAGTGATGAATAATTTGGCCAAAGGAGGAAACTCAACCTTGGTTCATCCTGCTTCCTGCAGATACTGGTTACTTAAACTTAAATTAGTTATATGAAAAGGTGACTTTAGTGGAAGACTATCCATCATATAAAGCAGACCTTGGAGGGTTATCAGATCTTAGCCCTTTTCATAGTCTTTGAGTGACTTCACAACTTGCAGGTAACTGACAAACATGTTAATTTTGTCCTTTCTGTAATTATTTTAATTGACTTCCTCCATTTAAGGAATAGCAGTTTTGTCCCACTTGAAATTTATCTCAATATTATTTTATTCAATATAAATTTGTGATGTTTTTACATTTCCTCTGAACGGGTTGTAATATCTGTCCTGCTCCCTCATATAACGTAAATGAATACATTCTTTTGAAACCACCCTTACAGATGGATGGAGGGTGCAAGGCAAGAACTAGAATAAAGGGCCCAAACCGTGTGAAGGACCAGGCTTAGCTAAGAATAATGATAATAATCAGCCACTATTTCCTTGTTTCCTTGATAATAATTAGCCCCCTTGTTTGCTTCTTTATAACTGCTACCCTGGAGTCACATGTAGTTGTTGGTTATAAAGATTCTTAAGTTTTTTCCCATAGATAGAATGACCTTATAACCCTAAAAGTAGTTTCTGAGGGATTGTCCCGGCTCTGCATTCCAGAGGATCGGCTGACTGACCTAGACCAAGAAATTCACTCAAACTGGTCCTGCAACCCTCCCTCAAGAACCTGGTACTACATTCCAGAGGATTGGCTGATCCACCAAGTAGTGGTCCATGTCAAGGGGAAGTCAATACACTGAGACAGCAGGTGTCATGGCAGAGAAAGTGTTTAGTTTTATGGGTGCCATGCAAGGACATGGAAGGAATTTCCTGCTAATTAGCTGGGTTTGGTGCCAGACCATAGGGGTGTAGAAATTGTCTTTTTGTAAGTCAATTTGGAGGTGGAGGTTGCAATACTAGTTGAATCAGTTCCTTGGTATGGGCCACTGGTCTAGGTGGGTCAGCCATTTCACTGGAATGCAGCGCCAGGGAGAGATCTCAAAAATCATCCTTTGGTTTTGCAAGGATGGTATAATCTTTATCACCATCAGCTATGTGGGGCCTGAGCAGGAATTATAGGAAAGCAGTCAAGGGGAAGATGGCTGGTTATTACCGTTGTTTTTAGCTATACCTATGCCTTTGTAGAATTTCAGCCCCTTGCCACAGTTCTCACCTTGCATCCTTTACTGATTTGAAAAGGGCAGTTTCACTACCCTCTCCTTTCATCAGACTCAAACATAAAAATATATAGTTTTCCTGTGTGCTTGGGTTTTATTTCTGAAAGCTTCTATGTCACTTGAAAGTTTGACAAATACAGTTGTTATGCTTTTCTCTTGTTAATCTGTCTTTTGTTTTAAGTATAATAAAGTAAAGTTACCTCATTTTCTCCACTCCAGTAAGTTTTTATTTGTTGACACTTTGGCTCAATCAATTGCAGAAAGCAGCAATAAAAATTTACAGTGAGGACAACATTGAAATCACTTCTAATATCCCTCATGACCATGGAAAAATAGAATATGTGATGCATTCTTCTCTACTCTAGGAAATGGTTATTTGATTTGTCTTCTTTCCAAAATGTTAATCACACTGACCTCATTCTGTGTCATAGATATTCCCCCTGATGCCCAGGAAATGTTTTGTTCTGAAGTCTAACTGCCTTTGCCCATATTATTATGCTCAATAATTAACAAATAAGCAAAAATTATTTTATTAAATAAAAGATTATCATTAAAATATATTCTTCAGAAATTGTTGAGTACTTCTATAGATACAATTTTCATTATCAAATAATACAAAGAGAAATAAGAATTGAATTTTTACCAGTATCAAATATACCCATAGACAAATAATTCCAATAAGGTATGAAGAGGAGGCTGTGGCAGCAGGTCACCGAGGTGCTCCCAGAGCAAGACTGTGGTATGTAACTCAAAGAGAGCATCTGACAAGCCTGTGAGGTCTCCTGTGCAAATGGGGAGGTAGTATGGGACAGTGGAGATGGATTTGCATTGGAAAAGTGATTTACAGTGTGAAGTGTGATAAAAAAAAAAAAGGATAAGGGTGGAGGGGTGACATATTGTAGTTTAGCATAACTTCTCTAGCATCCTTGCAAAAAGGTTTGGAAAAGTAGCTATTTTTTAATGGCATTTTCTAGTGGTGTTTTGTATCACTGAACAGCAGCTGCTTTTTAGAGTGATCATCAAACAAGTTGTACATGAGTCACTAGAAAAGTTTTGAGATAGACTGTATTATGGTCCATTATTTAATTTCTAGGAAACACAGTGGACAGTGTCCTTTCTGATTCACCCATGCCAAGTTTCAACTTGCTTGACTTATAGGTATTACTGGGAGGGCTTCGTTTTTTTGTGTCCCAAAACTTTCATATGACCCCTGTGGGCTGGTGAAGAAAAGAATTCAAGGCCAGCCAGATCAAGCTAGAAGGGTTATCAAGAAGTCCTCATCACTGTGACATGGAGCAGAGATGGATGACAGGGCCCTGAACAGCTCTTGTGAACAGACAGAGCTATGGTCATGTGAGGCTTCCATCTCATCCCCTGACCCACAGCAGGTGAAAGAGGGTGATAAAGCAAGGCCAGGAGACAAGCAGGAATGTACTGCAGCTGTTCTTACAAAAGTTCTGGCTGGGGAGTCGTGGGGACAAAGCCTCAGAATGCAGTAGGACTTAAGAGTGTTTTATTTAGACACTGATGAGAGAGAGTGTGTGATTGCATATAAAAAGGCCCCCAGTTCTCTGAGATGGGAAACAGAGGCAAAAGGTATTCAAGTCGCCCATGGAAAATCATAGTGAAAATGCCCCCAAAGCCCTTGGATCTAGAGTCTAAAGGCCTCACCTGGGAGTAGAGAGGAGAGAATCATTAAAATAGCATCATGCACAAAATTCCAGCAATTCAGTAAGGTTACTCAGAAAAGTTGGAGGCTTTGATCCTGAAGGAGGAATATGGATTCCAGAATATAATGCCTAAAAGTTAGACTGTTTCACTCCAGTACAACATCATTGAAGCCAAAACATTTAAACATCAACTTCAATAGTTTTATAGAGTTAACTATCTATTTAGTGAAAACCTTTGCTATTATTGTACAAAAATGTCAAGATTAGATTCATCACATCATAATACAAAGTCAATAATCCTTTGTGCTCAGCATACTTGCCAATTGCAGTAAGTACGAAACTTTGTGGCTCCTTGAAATTTCAGCTATGTGGCTCCTTGAAAAGCAAGGTGCTGTTAAACTTTTTCAAATGCTTCAAATAACTCTCCATGGAGATAGTTATTGGAATACCATAACAGTGTTCTGCATGAAAGATGGTAATTTTCTTAGTAGTTAGGAAAAAAATTGTATATGTGAAAAATATTTTTTGCTGCTATAATACACACAATGATTTTATTTTACTCTTGATGTTAAACCTAACAGTAGTACTAGTGTGCTGGAAAATTAATTCTAAATAGTTTCTTTCATGTTAAAAGGAACACTAGTAATTTATTCTTTTTTTCTGAATTTAATCTGCATCTTTAACATAGCCATTTCATAGAAAGTCCTGTATTTAATGATATGGTTGATTATAGTAAATTATTCGCAAAATTGTTTTGCATTTTTTCTCACATAATTTTTTTTTTTTTGTAATTCACTGATCTATTGAAGGCTTAGACAATGACTTCCATAACATTGGTCATGAAAATGCTGCATAAATTTGTATAAAACAGTTGATTTTGTAGTAATGTTTTAGTTAAAAATTTGAGAATATATTATGTTTTGTAAGCATATATTGGATGCTTAGTGGCATGTCTTTATTATTGTTGCCTTTTTTAAGTTTATAATTTAATACACTTTTAGGCATGTAAGTGATCACCTAGATCAAGCTACACAACTTTTCCGTCATCCTGGAAGTTTCCTTTGTGTTCTCTTCTCTCTTCTTTAGAATATTCCAATATTTTATTAGACAATTTTTCAAATATACAACACAGTTGAAAGAATTATACAGTGATCACCCTTACGCCCATCACATAACATTTTGTAACATTTTCTTCTTCACATGTAAGTAATATGTTCATAGAGAGGACACAAGTTTTGTCCCCCTCATCACAATGACCCCTGATTCCTGTTGGGTGTGTTATACTCAGAGGAGCCATTCTTCAGGTATGATTGTTGTCATTTTGAGGATTAGAAAGTTGAGATATATCAAGAATATGATACACATATCCTAGTGAAGGCACTTTTCCTTTAGTCACTTATAGGATAGATTTTTTGTGGTATTATAAGAAGAGCAAAGCAATAAGCTCTTGTAGATGTGCAGAGGCATCAGCTGCACAGGCAGATTCCATGGAAGTCTGCTCTCCTGGGAGCCTGGGGGACTCTGTACATTGTCCTCTCCTAACTAAAACCATAAGCAACAATGTCATTCCCTCTCCTCAAGAAAAACAGACTGGTTGATACTTTGTTGCCAAATGGCAGACAGACTAGGAAGCCCCAGACTTATTCCCCAAAGAGATTCTGACTTAACAACAATATATGGCCTAAAATGTCTCTATGAGAATTCCATAAAATGATCCAGAATTTCCAATACCTCAGACAAGGGCAAAGCCCACAATAATTGCATTTAAACAGGTGAGAAAAAGCTGCATTAACCCAGGGCCACAGGTAGGTGCAATCAGTAGAATATACACAACTGTCAACATTTTCATGGGAGAAAGAAAGAGTAGAATATATATCCAGAATTCTGGCTTTCCAGGGAACTGCCCAAGGGATAGGTTTTGGCTTCACCTGACAGATTTTAGAATGTGAGGAAATAGTACACTCTGGACAGCTTGGCAACAAAACCAAAAAGCAACTTTCGGAGACATCTTACAGCACCAGGAGCCTCTAGTGATGAAGACAGACATCAGAGGGAGAAAGATAAAGAGCTCCTGAAAAGAAGCAGGTAACCTCTCATTAGGAAATTATGTGCACAAGCCCCATAGGAGATGCATCACTCAAATCTGTGAGAGGCCCCCACAATGTCTAGGCAGGATAACTGTTGGACATTTCACCCTATACAGACTGTACACAGTCTGTAAAGAGCAGGAGGGAAGTTATTTTTTATAATTCTCAAATCCCAACCAAAGTATGGCATAAGAAGAAATAAGGGAAAATAATGGCTTGATTAAATAAATAAAATAATTTTTTAGATGGCCTTAAAATAGAGAGATCTATGAGTTACCTGAGAAAGAATTTGATGTGGCTATTTTATAGATGCTTGAGGAACTACAAGAGAATTCAGATAGACAACAACAACAAGAACTAAAAACAAACAAACAAAAAAAAACAACCCAGGAAATCCCCACAGGAACAAGGAATGACAATATAAACATTCAGAAACTATAAAAAAAATGAAACAAATCCTAGAGCTAAAGAATACAATGACTTAATTGAAAAATTTACTAAATGGGCTTAAAGAATTTCAAATTTGATTAAGGAAAGTATCAGTTAATCAGAAGATGGGTCTTTTGAAATTATTGTATCAAAGGAACAAAAGGGAAAAAAATGATGAAAAGTAAAGAAATCCTTAGGGACTTACTGGAAAACATCAAAAAGACCAATATCCACATTACAGGAGTCTCAGAAGGAGCAGAGAAAAGAAATAGGCAGGTAGTTTATTTAAAGAAATAATAGTTGAATACTTGCCAAATCTAGGGAGAAAAATGGCCATCCAAATGTATGAAATCCCAAGGGCCTGAAATAGCTTGAACCCCCAAAGGGCAGTTCCTTCTGGGATGAGAAGTTGGCACTGAATGCCTTTCCAACTTTTGGGGAAGGTTTTTATTTTAATTTTTTCCTGATTTTTAAAGTATTTTAATTGATGTAGGGGATACAAGTTAAATTCTGTTATATGTATATATTGTGTAGTGGTCAATTTTGGGCTTTTAATGTGCCCATCACCCAAATAGTATCCACTATACACCATAGGTAATTTTTCATCTCTTACCCACTGCCACTCTCTCCACTGTAAGTCTCTAATGTCTGTCATACCACTCTATGTGCTAACTCCATGTGTTACTACATTAGTCACTGTGCAGGTCTTACTTGCAAGTAAGAATATGCAGCATTCTCTCTCTCCTCTCTCTCTCTTTCTGAGATACTTCATTTAAGGTAATGCTCTCCAGTCTCATGCAAGTTGCTGCAAAAACATTATTTCATTTTTGCTTATAGTTGTGTACTACAACATTATATATATTCCATACCATTATAATTGTGAATTGTGATACAATAAAGACATTAGTGAAGTATCTTTTAGAGATAATGACATAATTTTAGAGAGAGATTGATACCCAGGAGTGGGACTGATAAGCCAAATGGTGGATCTACTTCTAATCATTTAGGAAATCTTCATACCGATCTCCATAGAAGTTGTACTAATTTTCACTCTCACTGAAAGTATATGAGCATTCCCTTTCCATTCCATTTCTATTGTATTTGTGCTAATATCAATTTTTTTTTTTTTACTTTTTACTAATGGCCATTTTAATTGGAGTAAGATGTTATTTCACTGTGATTTTATATGCATTTTTGTCATGATTAATGATGTTGCGCTTTTATTATATGTTTGTTGGTTATTTGTATGTCTTCTTTTGAAAAATACCCATTCATATCATTTGCCCACTTTTTAATTGGGTTACTTGTTGTTTTTTTTTTCTTCCTCCCGCCCTTGGTAAGTTGTTTGATTTCTTATAGATTCAGGATTAATATTTGTATCTGATACATGTTTTGTGAATATTTTCTGCTATTATTTAGCTTATCTATTTACTTTTTAAATTATTTCTCTTGTTGTACAGCAGATTTTGGGTTAGTCTCACTTGTGTTTGTTTATTTTTTTGTATTTGCTTTGGGAGTCCTAATCATAAATTCTTTGGATAGGCCAATGTCCACAGGAGATTTTTCTAGGTTTTCTTCTAGAATTTTTATGTTTAAGTCTTGAATTTAATTCATTTTGAGTTAATATTTGTTTAGGTGAGAGATAAGGATCCACTTTCATTCTTCTACATTTGGCTTTCAAATTTTCCCAGCACCAGCAACATTTATTGAATAATGTGTTTTTTCCTTCACGTGGGGTTTTTTTTTTTTTTGGTTGTTTTTTGTTTTTTGTTTTTTTGATACAGAGTTTCCTATGTTACCCTCAGTAGAGTGCTGTGGCATCATGGCTCACAGCAACCTCAAACTCTTGGGCTTACGTGATTCTCTTGCCTCAGCCTTCCAAGTAGCTGGGACTACAGGTGCCCTTCACAAAGCCCGGCTATTTTGTTGTTGTTGTTGCAGTTTTCATTGTTGTTCAGTAGGCCCTGGGTTGAGTTTGAACCCATCAGCCTCGGTGCATGTGTGGGCACCAATCCTTGATGTGTGTTTTCATTTGCTTTGTTAAAGATGAGTTTGTTGTACATATATGATTTTCTTTCTGGGCTCTACATTCTGTTCCATTGTTCTATGTATCTACCTTTAAGCCAGTACCATCCTGTTTTGGCAACTAGCCTTGTGGTATGTACAAGTTGAAATCAGGCAATGTGATGCCTCCAGTATTCTTCTTTTTGCTTATGATTGTTTTTTCTATTTAGCCTCTATTTTGGTTCCATATGAATGTTAGAATTTTCTTTTCAAATTCTGTGAGAAATGACTTTGGTATTTTGATAGGAATTACACCAAATTTGTAGATTGCTTTGGTCATTTTTATAATATTCTTCTGATCTATGAGCATGGGATGTTTTTCCATTTGTTTGTGTCATCTATAATTTCTTGCATCAGTGATTTATAATCCTCCTTGATTAAATATATTTCTGGGTGTATGGAGATTTTGTAGCTGTTGTAAATGGAGTTGTGTTCTTGATTTGGTTCTCAACATGGTTCTTATTGGTATAAAAAACAGTTTTGATTTTTGTATGTTGGTTTTATAACCTAAGACTCTGCTGAATTCATTCATCAAATCTAGGAGTCTTTTGGAGGATTCTTTAGGTTTTCTGAGTATAATATCATGTCCTTTCTAAATCTGTTTATTTGAATCTTTGCTTGCTCTTCTTTTTTTTTCTTTATTGAAACAAATGACAAATTTTATTTCATGAGTTAATTTTTATATCCAAGCACAAGGATAATGAAATATATTTTTCATGCAAAACATTATATATATTAAATAACATACAGTGGTAACAGTGCAGTGTAGGTTTGCTGGGAAGCAGACTCTGTGATAGAAATATACAAGCAGGAAGTGTTTGTTGGGCAGTGCTGTCTAGATGAGGACTAGTGAGAGTGGAAGAATGAAGCAGGATAGACAGAACAAGAAGTTGAACTCTATCGAAGTCCCTACAAATGTCTCAGTTGATCCTTTGAGGAACCTCTGAAGTTGAGAAAGCCCCTAAAACATGTCTGAATTGAGGCAATGGCCAGTCTTTGGATATCTCTCACCCCACAAACATGAACTTTGAATGAGATGACTCTCATTAGTCAGGGGAAATTTCCAGAGAAGAACTCAGCAGAGAGCAGCCAACTAGCAATAGTCCCAGAAGCTGAGGGAAGGAGGGCTTCAGTCTCAAAAGGTTTGGGGGATTTGTGAGAATCTGGGAAGCACATCAAGATCGACTATAGATGATGTATGAAAGCATCAACTACAGATGATTAAAGAGAACAATATGTATTTCACAATTTACAGCAAACTTCTGCCTGAATCCCAGATACTATTGAACTTAAAATTATGAAAAGGTAAAATTCTAGGAAGAAAACAAAGAAACCACATGAAATGCCAGCTACTGTAATTATAGAAACTTTTGATAGCAAGAGAGATGAACCTCCCCCCCCCCCAAAGGCCTCTAAATAAGGAGGAGAATTATTTACAGGAATACTCATTTTTTCCCCAATATCTCAAAAAATAGACAACAAGTATTTATAAATGGAAGTTGAAGATAATTTCAAAAAACAGATTGTGCCAAATCTTATGGACAATAGAAAAAAAAAAGAAATCCTTCAAATTCATTCTACTTCATCTGGATATACCTGATATTAAAATTGGAAAAATATATTATTATAAAGGGAAATTGCAGACATATTTCACTTATAAATGAGGATGCAACATCCTAAACAACATATTAACAAGTTGAATTAAAAATTATTGTTCAAATAATGTACTTGGTCAAAATTAAA